ATACGGTAATCCAGATTTTCCTGTGTGGGAAGAGCTGGTGGAAACACCTGCTGCGCCTCGTAAGGAAGGCGCTGAGCAGGATATTCCCCAGGACCCAGGCAGTGTTGCGTCTGCAGCTCCCGATCAGGAGACTATGGTGCGTATCATAGCCGAGCAGACGGGACTGAAGCGCGAGGAGGGCGACAACGAGGCTACCTTGCAGAAGCAGGCTCGCCGTCTTCGTGAGGAGAACGTGTGCCATGGCGGCACTGAGGATACCGACGACATCAAGATAGAGCACAAAGGACTGCCAGGGGAAAGGTTGTCTCGGATCGAGATCGAGGGTTTAAGCAGATCGGTCGCTTCCAGACCGAACACCGAGATCAATCGTGAGGCGATCAATCAGATCGGTCAGAGCCTCGCTCGCGGTCAGGACACCCGCTGGGGATCCCGCGATCACCTGACTTCGGCTGGGGCCCCCGAGACGATCTTGCATCCCATGCCGCTCTGCAACAATGGCGGTCGAGATCTGTCCCTCGGGATGGTCACAGGTGACGGCACACTCTGTGATATATGTTGGCAATACACTGTGGCCGTAGGCGCCACAGGTAAGAGCACCGCCACACAGAGTGACCTCGCGTACCTCCAGAAGTTGACGAACTGGATCAAGACGACGTTGTCCGAGGACCAGGTCGCGAGATACATGAAGGATGGCGCACATGTCATTATGACGGGTGCGCGATCCCCCATAGGCACAGAGAAAGATCAGTTGCGGAGATTGGCCAATACGTCCAAAAAGAGGTATCAGAAGTGGGTCGACGCCGGTAGCCCGCCTGCACACGAATGCAGATTAATGGGCGAATCCGAGGACGACCGACCTCTGTACTACCCATTCCAACGCTTTCTCAACGACCTCAAGTTCCATCATCAGATGACAGGCGCCCGCGTGAATGTCGGCAAGAAGCCCTGGACCGTCGAGGACATGCGCGACGCGTGGGACATCCTTGACGTCAGTATTAGGACAGGACAGGCTGGTCGGAGAAAGTGGTGGCTGAACGAGGGACGCATTGACAGGCAGACGCGGCAGGCGCGCGGACTGATTACGGTTTCTCTCCCTCGAAGGGACGGAACCCGTGAACAGTTCACCCAGCGCAAGCTTGCCGCGATTGCCAATGAACTGATAGGATCCCTCGATCCGTCACACACCGACCAGAGGGGGGGTAGTACAGGGATGAGAACCGATCCATATACACACTCCCAACAGTCCGATGACGCCATGGAGCCGCGGCCGCCGCCGCGCCCGCCGCCGCGCCCTGCTCCTGGCGACGCCGCTGCATCCAGCGCCTCAGGCGCGGAGGACTACATGCCCGCGATGCCGCGCGCCAAGAGAGCACGTACATTTGACTACGCTGCTTACTGGCGCCACAACCTCGAGGACAGCGATTGGGGTCTTCGATATTGGAGTTACTACATCAAATGTTGGATCTACATCGGGATCAACAGAAGAGTATGTGTACATCCAGGATATCACGTACAACGATTGGTTCCGCAACTGGATCCCGAGGACAACTTGGGAAACGTTTATGACAAGCTACGCGACGTACAACGGCCAGAGGGTGTGGGACCGCAGGTTCTACAAGGACGGCGACGCGTAGTGAGTCGGCCGCAAGGCCCACTGCTCAAGAGCAGAACTTCTTTTCATCAAAGTTCGCCTTGAGCGGTGGATAATACATTCTTTTAGGCCACTTCAATCATTCACATAAGTGGCCACGCACACATATAGATATCTTTTGCGATCACCGAGGCAGCCTCCTAAGGAGCAACGCCAACGGGAGTCGCCAAACATATGTTTATCCATCTTTTTTTTTCGTGTTCATCAACGCGACATTTTTGTCTGGCCAGACACTCGCTTTACACAGATTTGCGTTTATTTTCAGGATCGTGTTCGTCAATGCGATCTTAGTATACACATGTTTTTAGGCAGACTTGTGTTTCGTTTCAAGATTGTGTTCGTCAACACGATCTTAGCATGCATATTTTACCAATTTGAACAATATTGCGTCGAGAATAATCTGCTTGCTGGTGGCAACACCTGCCTCGCAAATCTTGCGAGGCAGATTGCATGTTGCCTTGATGCTCAGATCTACTTTCTCCGCCTACCCTTGTCTCATTCTTCCCCTCCCTCGAGTGCCGAAGCGTTTTGGGGGGCGCACCGAGGGGGCGCCAAAGTGCGCCTGGGGATGAAAGTGAGACTTAGGGTATCTCTTCTTACCTCACTTTGCAGCTGTGGCTTCGCTGGTTTTAAGCCTCAGCTGCCTTTCAGACTTAAGGACTAAAGGAGTTCAGAGGTTACGGATTCCTATCCGCTGTTCCCGAGTCCTGCCTTCACGGGCGGGATTCGGGACGGGGGGTGTGGAAGGAACCCGTGTAATACCCTCATATATACTCCTTATCCTTACCTCTCCCGCACCTGGCCGTTTGGGCTCAGGTATTGAGTTGGAGCGATCGCACCTTGATCGCGTGGGAGGGAAAGATATCCATCTATCCCTCCTTCTCTCTACCAACGGACCAGGGGTTCTGTACCCTTGTACTTCAACCCCATACACAGTGAGACCTTTCAGGATTTTGAGGTCACCACAACGTGTGTCACCACACGGTGGCTGCCGCCCTGCCACCATCCTCGCCACCGTGGTTCGCCACGGCCGCCCACAGCGCTTTGGCCCTGCGCGCCGGGCTGTTGCTGCCTCCCGGGCTGCTCACCGAACGTCCCTGCTTTTGTTTTTCTTCTTCTTCTTCTTCTTCTTCTCGGCCGTCCCCCCCCCCTCTTTGCACGCAGGCCAACTCGCTAGTTAGTGCCCCTATCGAGCTTCTCGCTGGAGCGGAGTTCGCCGCCTCGCCGCTGACGAAAAAAGTGTCACCACATGGTTTTTGGGACTGCCAAGGGAGGATGGATGGAAAAGTCCCATGCGGCCCGATCCGACGCAATCTCCAAGACATTTTCGGAGGCGTTCTGTGCGATCCGCGATCCCAGAAACTCGCGACCCCTAACCAGGGGGTAGTTTTGAGTCCTGGATCCGTTTTGGGTGATTCCCAGGCCCGCTCGCGCGCCCCAGGGGCCGAAGTCGAGCAACGCCGCCCGCGGGTTTGAAAAGATCCGTTTTCGGAGATCTTGGCATGCGGCCCGATGCGGCGCACCGTCCGATCAGATCCGATTTCCACATTCCTGTCGCTTCGCGGGTCAAGATCGGGCGTTTGGTGTTTTGCCTGCTCGTCTGGCGCACTGGTCTGCCATGTCGTTCTAACCGCCACAGGGCGCTGCCAGCGCCCAGGGGGGCGGATGCGCCCCTCCCGTCTAAGCGTCGGGGCGAGCGTGCGAATGTGCACGAGGGTAATCACCATTCACCGCGTGTCAGCACAAGGCAGCAACGAACTCAAACTCCGATGAGCAGATCAACAGTGTGCCATTCGCATGCCGTTCCGCGGGCGTTTCAGTGGTTTCTTGTGGACGTTTGGGGGGCCCCATCCAGGCGGAGGGTCCGGAATGTCAGTTCGGGCACGCGCGAACATGGATCAGGGATCCGTGGATCTGGCGCGATCCATGCGCATCGGGGAAGGTACCCCCCGAAACGTGGGGCCGATGCCGCCCAATGTGGCGACGAGGCCTGCCAAGTCTGTACGGAAGCGGGGCCCGTCGCCAATCCACGCGTCGCTATGCCATATGTTCGTGACTCCTCGAGTCAGTTCGAGCTTGTGCCTTGGATCCTTTTTGTAGGGCCTGAGGGACAACGATGAGGGGGGACTGGCTCAGGGGAGGACATCGACGTGGAATGTGGGTGATACTTCGGCGATGGATCGGCGGTAGGCCCCCGATAGCAAACCGCACGCTCCCGGGCGGGGTGGGTTATCATGCCACTATCACCGATGAATGTGCGATTGGGGGTTGATGCGTTCTCCATTGGGTCAGCTCCCCCCTGCAGTCTACCATCAATGAGGTCAGCGCAGCGGCCGGGCCCGCGCTCTCTTTTCCTTTCCGGCCCCCCCCCCCCCTCCCCCTTTCTCCCCCCCCCGAGTCCTCAGCGGTTGTGCGAAAGCGCCAGACCGCGTGAATTTGAGCTCTGCCTTTGCCATTCGTGAGCTCAGTTGCACAGGTGGCTTCCTGGTCGGTGACTCGAGCCGTGATCAGGACCTGGGCAGTGGGCTCCTTTTCCCCAGACACCCGACATCCCTGAGCCTGCGCGCTTGGGACGAGGCCTCGTCCCGACGGGCTCCATCACATCCTTCCACCCCTCCTCCACATCTTCCTCCTCCTCCTCCTCCTCCTCCTCCTCCTCTTCCTCCTCCTCCTCCTCCTCCTCCTCTCTCTCTCTCTCTCTTTCTCCTCCTCTCTCTCCTCCTCCTCCTCCTCCTCCTCCTCCTCCTCCTCCTCCTGCTCCTCCGCCTCCTGCTCCTCCTCCTCCTGCTCCTCCTCCTCCTCCTCCTCCTCCTCCTCCTCCTCCTCCTCCCCCTCCTCCTTTTCCTCTTCCTCTTCCTTCCTCCTCCTCTTCTCCTCCTCCTCCTCCTCCTCCTCCTCCTCTCCCCTCCTCATCCTCCTCCTCCTCCTCCTCCTCCTCCTCCTCCTCCTCCTCCGCCTCCTAAGTCTCTGTGGGGATCTGGGCCATATGAGCTTTGCTGGATGGTGGCCAGGGTTGCGTGAAATTCTGGGCCGTAGCTATTGCATTCCCTGAGCCCGATGGCGCAGGCCTTGCTCCGCAGGCGAGCACAGTGACAGGTCTCGTTTCGATTCGTCCGCGTCGAATCGATTCGACTCCGGTGCCCTCCGATTCCGATTCGATTCGGTTTGGGATTCCGATTACCATGCCGAGATCTCAGTGGAGGCCTACTAGCCAGCCGATGTCTGTCGACCCGACTCGGCTGCCGATTCCCGCCGATACGATGCATGCCGATCGCCGATCCGACCTGTCGCTTCGATTCTGGGCTCGCATGCAGCGATTGGGCCAGCTGCTCTCCCGCCCCAGCCGCAGGACGCGGCCGGCAGCGGCGCGCGCCTCGCCGCCCTCGCGGAGGCCGCGGGGGGGGCCCTCTTTCGCCGAGCGCGCTCCACTACTCGCCAAGTGCCTACTCCCAGACGGCCGAAAAACCAGACGTCTGCCTCAGTGTAGTAGATCGTAGATCCCCTGCGGCGGACCCGGGCCACTTGCGAGTATACACTCTGCGTGTAGTGGAACGCGCTTGCCTCCTCCTCCTCCTCCTCCCCTTCCCCCTCCTCCTCCTCCTCCTCCTTCTCCTCCCCCTCCTTCTCCTCCTCGTCTTCCTCGTCTCCCTCCTCCTCCTCCTCCTCCTCCTCCCCCTCCTCCTCGTCTTCCTCGTCTTCCTCCTCCTCCTCCTCCTCCTCGTCTTCCTCGTCTTCCTCCTCCTCCTCCTCATCCTCCTCCCAGGGACCTTGACGGGGGGGCAGATGGGCACAGAGGGGGGCGCGCGTCGACGCCCACTCGCCCACGGATCGCCGACGGGGGTCTGATGGCTCCGCCCCGCCCAGGAGTCGCGCGGACTCGCTACTTCTCGGGGGCCTGCCGCCGATCTACCGGCGATGTATCGCCGATTCCAGGTTGGGCGTTGCGTAATGGGGGGGTCATAAATGGAGGGGTGGCGAGGGTGGTCCGAAAAGGTACCCAAACGGTACCTAAACGAGCCCCTTGAGGCTCTGGAGGGGCCCGAAAGGGGCACGAAAGGGGACCTTTTCTGACCCCCCTATTTGTGACCCCCCCATTAAGCAACGCCCAATCCAGGCCGATGTTTCCCCCCCACCCATCGCTGGGCGTACCACCGCCGGAGGCGCCGTTGCGCCCCCAGCCGGCGGTGGTGGTAGCGTCGACCTGGGCGTCGTGCGGCGTCAATTCCCAGACCCCCTCGAAGCATGAAACGAAAAAAACACGACGGGAGGTTTTGCCCTACGTTCGCCCTCTGGGGGCCCCTACTTGCCAGGCCTCGGTACCGTTCAAAAACGGCTCGGAATGACAAACCAGTCTCGGGGCGACACTGACAAACTCATGACGTCGGGGAGGAGGAGGAGGAGGAGGAGGAGGAGGAGGAGGAGGAGGAGGAGGAGGAGGAGGAGGAGGAGGAGGAGGAGGAGGAGAGGGGAGGAGGAGGGGGAGGAGGACGAGGAGGCTGGGGAGGAGGAGGAGGAGCTCCCTTTCTCCCTTCGCCTCCTCCTCCTCATGACGTCGGGGGTCCAGACTTTTGGGATCGACACTGACAGATTCATGACGTCGGGCGTCTGGGTTAGGCAGCGAGCCCAGGGAGAAGCGAGGGGGGGCGGGCCTTCTCAGAAGGCCGTGGGGCCCTCCCTCCGCTCCTCCCTCCTCCTCCTCCTCCTCCTCCTCCTCCTCCTCCTCCTCCTCCTCCTCCTCCCTCCTCCCCCTCTCCTCCTCCTCCTCTCCTCCCTCCTCCTCTCCTCCTCCCCTCCTCCCTCCTCCCTCCTCCCTCCTCCCTCCTCCCTCCTCCCTTCTCAGACGCCCTCCTGCCTTCTCGGAGAAGTCTTCCGTGTCTTCGGGGAAGGCTTATTAGAAGATTTCCCAAAAGGCGCGAGGGCTTCTGAGAAGCCCCGCCTCCTTCGGACACGACCTGCCCCCTCTCACTTCCCCCCTGGGCTCGCCGCCAGACACTGGCGGCGACGTCGTTGCCATCGCCGCCGCCAACTGTCGGCGTCGATTGCGTCAGCGTCGACGCCCACGGTGTGTGACCTTGAATGCTCATCTGCGAATCGTGCCCAATAACGCGCTGCCCAATGCGCCTCTAGCGCCCAATATCACACAATGGCGCCACATAGCCCCTAGTAGAATGGCGCCCCATATCGCCCGAGGGCGCCATTAGAGGAGATGCCTTACGTCCGATTTGCGCGCTGTCGGGCGCCAGGAGGACGACCAACAGCTTCCGTGAGTCGCGTCCTAACCATGACATTATGGCGGGGACAGACGGACGATGTTTCTCTATTATCGGAAGTGTTCAAGAGGGGGGTTAGGACTAGGGACTAGGGCGTAAGTGTGTGTTTGTGAGAGTGTGTGTGTGTGTGTGTTTACCTCTCTCTTGCCTTCGTCTCGCTGGCCCCGTGTCCTCCTGATTCTGGCCAGCTTTTGGCCTGTGATGCATCTCGTGAGTCTTCTGGCCTTGCTCCGCTTTAGCTTGCTCTAGCCGGGCCCGTCCTGCCCCAGTCGCGACGCCCAACAAGTGTGTGAGCAGATGTCATGGCAGGGGCCAGGGATTCTCGCAGACCTCATGGCCCCCTCTCCTGCTTGCAGCGCGTCCCCTGGTCCCCACTCGTCCGCGCACCTGCCTCCAGGCCATGATGCGCCAACCCCCCTCTCGTCTTCCTGCCCTCCTCGCCCCCCTCTTCGGCGCACCGGGTGTTTCGGTACCTTTGGTCAATGATCGGGCCCCAGGATCAGCAACGATTGGTCCGCAGCGGAAAACTGCCACCCCGGGGGATGGGGTCGGGACTTCCTTGGCGCCGCGCACGGGGAGAATCTCATCGTCGGATGTCTGGGGTGGCTGCTGCGGCAACCAGGACGGCCACGACGGCGGTGGAGGCCACGGCGGCGGCGACGGAGATGGAGATGGCGGCGGCGACGAGAACGAGAATCCAGGCACAACAAAGAACCACAACCACAGCTAAGTTGATTTTTCGGGAGAGTCCCCCAGAGAATCTCGAAGAAGAAAAAACGCCATAAACATAAACTATTGGCGCTCCGCGCGGATTTCTTGGATCCGCGCTGAGCCCCCCTGGCGGCGCCTCCGGCGCCGCCCTTGGCGCGCTCCGCGCGCCATCATCATGCATTCACCAGCATCGACATGAACACGTTGGTTGTGATTGTGGTCGATCTGGGCGCGAAGCCGCCATATGGGGAAGAGTTCCCGATGAAAATCACCCTGGGGTTTCCCCAGGGACCAGCTCTTCATCCTGAGTCCTTCCTTTTGTCGGCCCTGGGGCCCTTGGAGGGCCGAAGGTGCCCGAAAAGGGTCTCAGACCCTCCTTTCCTTTGCAGACTCGTTGCAGTCGTGCTGACCCTGAAACATCGGCCCCTGAACTTCTCCTGGAGTGCGTTCCGACCAGACTTGAGGGGCATACAGCCGGGGCGAGGACACGAGACCTGGAGGCTTAACAACACATCGTTTGTCAGGGGCGTGGAGAAGGGAGGGAAACGTGCTTCGCAAACCCAGGATCCGTTTCCTCGAAGACCCGCTTGCTCAGGACAGGCGTGGCACAACGCCGCCAGTCTTGGCACGGAATAGAGCACACACGCCGAGTTGTTCGAGGATCTCACGTGCAAGTGAGCTGGGCTTTCTTGGTGTTCTCTCGCGAGCCCTCTTAGCAAGCGTAGTTGCGCGAGACAGGGATTTACCCACATCCACCCTCTGGTGAACCGATTCATCCTCCGGTGAACCGATCTCTTAGGTGTTCAGTCGTGGACCCCTTGTTAAACGGAAGTGCCCCGCTTACTCGCCGAAGACCGCCGAACACCGCTGGAAACAGCCGAAGGCCGCCGGAAGGCTGCGGGAAGACCGCCCGAGACCGCTTTTGCGCCGAAGACCGCTGGAAACAGCCGAAGGCCGCCAGAAGACCGCCCAAGGCCGCTTTCGCGCCCAAGAACGCCGAACCCTGGAAACATCCGAAGGCCGCCGGGAGGCCATCAGAAGACTGCCCAAGGCCGATCGGTAACGAGGCGTCCAAAGTCGAATGCGCAGCATGCCCACATCCTCCCGGGGTCCAGGAAGATCGGTTCCCCCAGCGAGGAGCAGTGCGAGGAGGAGGAGGAGGACGAGGAGGAGGAGGAGGAGGGCGGAGGAGGAGGAGGAGGAGGAGGAGGAGGAGCAGCAGGAAGAGGAACGGAAAGAGGACGGGGGAGGAGGTTGAGGAGGAAGAGGGAGGAGGAAGAGGGAGGAGGGAGGAGGTATGCCGAGGACGACCTGACCGCCTCCGCTCAATCGCTGGTGAGCTGACCCATGTCTCTGTTTCAGCAATGCATGGTCGGACACCCACCTGGCTGTTTTAATGTGTGTAGCAGGAGGAGGTTGAGGAAGAGGAAGAGGAGGAGAAGAAGGAGAAGAAGGATAATAATGAACATGGAGCAGGGAGCAGGGCGGAGGGAGGAGGGAGGAGGGAACAGTGAGGAGGGAGGAGGGAGGAGGGAGGAGGAAAGAAGAAAGGAAGGAGGAGCAGGTGAGGAGGATGAGGGGAGGAGGAGGAGGGGAGGAAGAGGTGGAGGAGGAGGGGGGAGGAGGAGGAGGAGGAGAGGAGGAGGGAGGAGGGAGGGAGGGGGAGGGGGAGGAGGAGGGTGAGAGGGCGAGAAAGGGTGAGAAGGGGTGAGGAGGAGGAGGAGGCGGAGCAGGAGCAAGAGCAGGAGGAGGGGGAGAAGGAGGAGGAGGAGGAGGAGGAGGAGGAGGAGGAGGAAGAGGAGGAGGAGGAGACGGAGAGGAGGAGGAGGGGGGAGGGGCAAGCTAGGTGCGCTCGCGTCATATCTGACGTCCTACCCCTCCCTCCCATCCCTTACCATGGCGCTGATTTTCTCTATCCGCGGACGCGTGTCGTAGCGGACCTGTGGCTCCGCGCGCGCGTGCGTAGTGGGTGGTGGTGCACGTGCGTGCGTGCGTGCGTGTGTGCGTGGTTGTCGTGGTGGTGGTGGTGGTGGTGGTGGTGGTGGTGGTGGTGGTGGTGGTGGTGGTGGTGGTGGTGGTGGTGGTGGTGGTGGTGATGGTGGTGGTGGTGGTGCTGGTGGTGGTGGTGGTGCTGGTGGTGGTGGTGTGGTACTGGTGCTGGTGCTGGTGGTGGTGGTGGTGGTGGTGGTGGTGGTGGTGGTGGTGGTGGTGGTGGTGGTGGTGGTGGTGGCGGTGCGGCGCGGTGGTGGCGGGCGGATGGGCGCGCGAGAAAAAGGCCCGCGCTGGGGCGAGAACGCCATCCTGAACGACGGAGGCCAAACACCGATCCGAAAATGAGGCCCACGCTGCAGCGGGAGCACGATTCGGCACCCGGACGCCATCAGGGGAAGAGGGAGAGTATATTCATATTGAGTAATTGTGGAGGGGGAGGAGGGAGGAGAGGAGTAGGAGGAGGAGGGACGAGGGGGAGGATGAGGGAGGGATGAGGGAGGAGGGAGGGAAGGAGGAGGGAGGGAGGGAGTGAGGGAGGGAGCGAAGGAGGGAGGGAGGGAGGGGGGGGGAGGAGGATGAGGAGGAGGAGGAGGAGGAGGAGGAGGAGGAGGAGGAGGAAGAGGAGGAGGAGGAGGAGGAGGAGAAGGAAGGCGGAGGAGCAGGAGGAGGAGGGAGGAGGAGGAGGGGAAGAGGAGGGAAGATAGAGGAGGGAGGAGGGAGGAGGAAGACGAGGAGGACGTGGCGGGACGATAGAGGAGGGAGGGAGGAGAGAGGAGGGAGGAGGTGGAGGAGGAGGACGAGGGCGAGGATCCAGGATGGAGGAGGAGGGGAGGAAGGCGAGGATCCTGCAGGGGGGAGGAGGACGGGAGGATGAGACGTTGGAGGGCGAATATTCAGTTGGGAGGAGGGAGGAGCAGGAGCAGGAGATAGAGGAGGAGGAGGAGGGAGGAGGGAGGCGGGAGGAGGTATTAGGAAGACGACCAAACCATCTCCGCTCAATCGTTGGTGAGTTGATCCATTGCCATGCCCTGGGTTCAGCAATGTATGGTCGGACACTCACCTGGCTATTTCTATGTATATCTCAAGAGGACGGGGAGGAGGAGGAGGAGGAGGAAGAGGCGGAGGAACATGAGGAAGGAATAGGAAGCAGGGAAGAGGGCAGAGGGAGGCGGGAAGCGAGAGAGAGAGAGAGAGAGAGCGAGAGAGCGAGAGAGAGAGAGAGGAGGAGGCAGGAGGGAGCTGGGAGGCGGGAGGAGGGATGAGGGAGGAGGGAGGTGGGACGAGGGAGGAGGGAGGGAGGAGGGAGGAGGGAGGAGGAGGGTGAGAGGGCGAGAAGGGTGAGAAGGGTGAGGAGGAGGAGGAGGAGGAGGCGGAGCAGGAGGAGGCGCAGCAGGAGGAGGCGGAGCAGGAGGAGGGAGGAGGGAGGAGGGAGGAGGAGGAGGAGGAGGAGGAGGGGGAGGAGGAGGAGGAGGGCCAGTGTAAACCCACAAGTCATCAACGATGTTGGACTTAACCCTCCCTCCAAGCTCCCTCTTAACAGGCCCCTACAATGGTCCATTTCCATTGAGGGAGCTGCCTCGTTGGAAGACAACCGTTTGAAGATCCTGAAGCATGCCAACTCTCGGGATTCCAACGCCACGTATCAACCGGACTGCTGCGTTTTGGCGATCCTGAGTCGTGTCATAGCGCCATTTTATGATATCAACACCGCGAATCGACATAACTGTTGCACCCGCATAATCCTCAACCTCTCCAAACCACAATTTTTGGTACGTTGATCATGGGAGCCCGTGAAAGTCTTGCATATGTTTAAAGCAAATGTGCGCGGCGCTAGCCACATTTGAAACAGGAACCGCCTTCAATCCGTGAAACCCTTCTGCAAACATTGAAATCGAATGTGCACGGCGCTATGGCGAGAGCCACAGTTTGGATACCGCCCGCCCTCAATCCTCAAAACAAACTCTTTATGTTAAAAATGAATGTGCGCGGCGCTACGGCGAGAGCCACGTTTTGAAAACCACCCGCCCTCAATCCGCGAAACTCTTGCAAAGTTTGAAAACGAATGTGCCCGGCGCCAAGGCGAGAGCCACATTTTGAAAACGACCTGTTTTCAATCCGTGAAACTCTTGCAAATGTTGAACATGAATGTGCGCGGCGCCAAAGCGAGAACCACATTTTGAAAACGACCGCCCTCAATCCGTGAAACCCTGCATTTTGTTTAAACGAATGTGCGCGGGGCTAAGCCGGGAGCCACGTTTTGAAAAACCACCCGCCCTCCATCTGTGAAACTATTTTTCTTTTTAAACTTCAGGCTGATTAGTGGTGGGGAAGTCTCCGACGAAACGCCCGACCCGTCCTAACAATTGGCCTCGGGGTGCGACAAGGAGTGGTTATCGATAAGAAGAAGGAATGGAGGAAGAGGAGGAGGAGGAGGAGGAGAAGGAGGAGGAGGAGGAGGGAGGATGGAGGAGGGAGGAGGGAGGAGGGAGGAGGGAGGAGGGAGGGAGGGAGGGGGGAGGAGGGAGGAGGGAGGAGGAGGGGGAGGAGGAAGGAGGAGGAGGGAGGAGGGAGGAGGGGGTGAGGAGGGTGAGGAGGGTGCGAAGGGTGAGGAGGAGGTTAAGAGGGAGAGGAGGAGGAGGAGGAGGGGGAGGAGGAGGAGGAGGAGGAGGCGAAGATCCAGCTGAGAGGAGGGAGGAGAGGGTGAGGAGGGTGAGAAGGGTGCGAAGGGTGAGGAGGAGGAGGAGGAGGAAAAGGACGAGGAGGACGAGGAGGACGAGGAGGATGAGGAGGACGAGGAGGAACGAGGAGGACGAGGAAGACGAGAAGGAGGAGGAGGAGGAGGAGGAGGAGGAGGAGCAGCAGGCGCAGCAGGAGAACGAGGATCCCGGAGAGAAAATGGAGGGGAGGAAGGCGAGGATCCAGCAGGGGGAAGGAGGAGGAGGAGGAGGAGGAGGAGGAGGAGGAGGAGGAGATGGAGGAAGGCGAAGATCCAGCTGGGAGGAGGGAGGAGCAGGATCAGGAGGAAGAGGAGGAGGGAGCAGGGAGACGGGAGTTGGGAGGAGGGAGGAGGGAGGAGGGAGGAGATATGCCGAAAACGACCAGACCGTCTCAGATCAATCGCTGGTGAGCTGATCCATGTCTCTGTTTCAGCAATGCATGGTCGGATACTCACCTGACTATTTCTATGTGTGTAGCAGGAACCGGAGGAGGGCGAGGAGGACAAGGAGGACAAGGAGGAGGATAAGGAGGTAGGAGGAGGAGGAGGAGGAGGAGGAGGAGGAGGAGGAGGAGGAGGAGGAGGAGGACGAGGGGCGAGGGACGAGGGGCGAGGGACGAGGGACGAGGGACGAGGGACGAGGGACGAGGCAGGAGGGAGGAGGCAGGAGGCAGGAGGCAGGAGGCAGGAGGCAGGAGGCAGGAGGCAGGAGGCAGAAGGCAGGAGGGAGGAGGCAGGAGGCAGGAGGCATCCGCCCCCGGCAGGCGGGCCTCCGGGCCCTCGAGCCCGTCGACGCCCCAGCCGGCGCCCCTCCGCGCCGCGGGGACAGCCGAGGCCGCGCCGCGGCGTCCGGCCGCCGCTCGCGGGCCGCGACCGCCGCCGCTCGGAGGTGGAGGAAGCCTCGATCCTCGAGAGGCCTCGAGGACTCCTCGAGGAGTCCTCGAGGGGTTTAAACAGGGCTAGGATCGGGATAAATCGCTCCGCGCTCTCAGAGCGTTCCGGAACGCTCTGGAGCGGCCGCGGCGCCCAATACATCCTCCAAACCCGCCGATTCTCAGAGATTTCGAGCTATCCCGATCCGATTTTGTCCCGATCTTCGCGTCGTTTTCGGGGTTCTCGAGGAGTCCTCGAGGAGTCCTCGAGTTGTAGTCGGAGGGTTCTCGAGGGTCCTCGCGGCCGCCGGCGCTCGAGGGCATCCTCGAGGAGTCCTCGATCCTGGGTCCGCGATCGAGGGTTCCTGGAGCCTCGACCCTCGAGGTCGTGGCACGTCGTGGCCTCGAAGGACATACGGCAGAGGCTACAGACGACATACACCCTATGCGATGCTTAAGAACACCTAAGTTTTCGTCCAGAGTCTCGATGATTC